TCACTCATTCACCACTTCACCCCAGCACGGACCGACCATGTGCTCAGGCCAAGCCCTGCACTGGGGCAGAGAAGGGGCTGCTCCGTCCCCTGGGATCTCACGGTGGGCTGCAGGGAAAGGCGAGGAAGCACCGAGGGACAGGAGGATGTGACTGTGGTGGGAATGAATAGAGGGAGGAACGGGGCTGTGGGCAACCAACGTGAGGCCTCATGGTCTTAGCCCAGGCCGCCCTTCCAATGCTGAAAGTAGGACCTGTGCTCAGGACTTTGCAGCAGGAGGATTATTTAGAAAAGTGAATCCAGGGAGCAGAGTGAGGGTCTGAGAAAGTAAAGGAGGAGACAAAAGCTAAGGGTATACTGTAGAGATGACTACATTGAAGGCAACTGAGGCTTAACCCAGTGTGATCTCTAGGATAGCATCTAGAAACTGCATCACGGCAGGTGCAGTGGCTCACGCCTATAATTCCAGCACCTTGGAAGGCTGAGGCAGGCAGATCACCTGAGGTCAGGAGTCTGAGACCAGCCTGACCAATATGGTGAAACCCTGTCTCTACTAAAAATACAAAAATTAGCCCGGCATGGTAGCGGGTGCCTGTAATCCCAGCTAGTCGGGAAGCTGAGGTCAGAGAATTGCTTGAACCCAGGAGGCAGACGTGGCACTGAGCTGAGATCGCGCCACTGCACTCCAGCCTGGGCGACAGGGCGAGACACTGTCTTCAGAAAAAAAGAAAGAAAGAAAGCAAAAGAAAGAAGGAAGGAAAGTGCATCAGATTGTGCATGTCTCTCTCTCAGTGAAAAAGGGGGAAGCATTTAACTCCACGTTCCTGTCTCCATTGGTTGAGGGCTGTTCTGTGGGAACAGGCAGGAATCCACCAGGGATGCGTGGATCTGGTGACGGCCAGCATGCATGGACCGTTTGCCAGACCTGTGGCTGGAATCTGGAGCCAGGTGAGAACACATGAGGCTGGACAAGGGCTCTCAGCCTGGTTCCCAGGTATGGGACTTGACGGCCACCTAGCTGGCCAGGATGGGAAATGCAGCAGGGACCAGGGCAGTGAGGGAGGCTGCTCCGGGTTCCCCACCCCACAGAGGAGGCAAACCTGAGACAGGGCAGCCCTTTCCCCTGGAAGTCCCTCCTTCAGGGACAGACCCAGAGGCTCCACAGAGCAACCCAGCCACAAGGGAGGCCTGCGTGTCCCCATGTGATGGGCTTTCATTGCACTGGGCCCCAAGGAGGTCACGGCCTTGGAGTGCAAGAATTCCTCCCGGCTCCTGAGTCCCAGGACTACCTGCCTCTTCTGTCCCCTCACCTGGGCCATCTGCCCCCCTCCACCTCCTGCAGGCTCACCCCTTTGTTCCCTGCTTTCTCTTTCTCTGCTTCTCTCTGCCTGCCTCTTTGTCCTTCCTTTCTCTTTCTGTGACCCTGTCCTCAACAACTCTTTCCCTTCCTCTATTGTGCTGTTTCTCTGTGATTCTCTCCAGCCCCCCCTCCCTGTCTCAGTCCTCTCCATCTCTCTTGCTTCCTGTCTCCATTCCTCTCTTCTCTTTTTTTCTCTGCCTTTCCCTCGGTGTGTGGATGACTGGCCAGCTCTCTGGACATCTCCCTCCCTCCAGCTCCCTTGGTTCTCACTGTGGGTCCTTCTGTCTTTGTCTCTTCCATCTCTCCTCTTCTCCCCCTGGGCCCAAGTCAACTTCTCTCCATGACTCCATCCTCCCATCTCCATCCCTCTCTCTCTCCCCTCACCCCCCACCTTCTCTCTCCCTTCTCTCTCTCTCACTGTTTCAACCCCTCTTTCTATCCTCCTTGTCTTTCTCCTCTCTGCTGTTCCCCTCCCTCTCTCATCCCTTCTCTCATCTTCTCTCTGCCTGTCCCATCCTCTGACTGACCTCACCCCTGCATTCTCTACTCCTCTCCAGTCCTGCTCAGTGAGCCTCTCACCACCAACCTCTGCCTATCACACAATTTAAAAATTACAGGAAGATGGTGGGGGGCACAGGACTTATGGAGAAATGTCTACACCCAGCTCAACTTCCCTTAGAGCCGCCTGGAGTTGGTGCTCCCGGGGGCAGCTGGCTCAGTGGGGAATGGGCTCTGACAAACCCTGAGTCTCGGCGAGGCTCCTCAGGGGCTTCACAGCTGCTGCTGGGCCCCCTTCTATTCCCTGTCAGGAGAAGTTGGCCACCTCATGGGGATGGATTCCTGTCCATCTGCTCACAAGGCACCACGGGCAGTCACTAGGAACACAGTGACTATTTCTAGAATGAATGAGCACAACCTCCACCCATGGCTGGATACAGGATATTCCCCCATCCCAGAAGGACCCCTCGGGCCCTTCCCAGTCAACACTACCCAAAGGGTAACCCTGCTTCTGTGGCCAGCAAGGCAGTATCTGCCTGAGTTTGAACAGTGTATGAGGAGTCACACCTGGTATACCTTGGGGTGTGAACTGGTCCTCCAGGAAGCGGACACCCAGAAAGATAGGACTGCAAATGTTTATTAAGGGAAACACTATGGAAATGAGAGAGAGAGGAGCGAGCACGGGGCATGGGGCATCAAATATGGTGGAGACTTTTCCAAGATATCATGGCCCAGGAGACTCTTCAAATTTCAAAATTGTCCTGTAAGGTAAAAAGATTTCGGTTTATTTCCAGGTGACCTTCTTTTGCCCAATGTACATTTTGTCTTCTCTGAAATATCTGTGCCCCTGCTGAATACATCTGTGTGTGGCCGCATCTGTGTCTGTATGTCATGAAGAATAATTATCCATAGATCACAGATGTAAATCTCAGAGTTTAACTGTGTATGTATTTTTAGAATCTCTTCATCTCATAAGGATCTGAATTCTAATCTTACAGACAGGGGCTTTCCCTTATCTTTTGAAAGAGAAACTGGAAATCCCAGAGCCTGAGCTATTACACCCTAAGGTTTATTAAATGAACTTCAATGAACATCTTTTGCTGATCTTCTGACTGGGAATATTTTCATTTAACCAGCGGGAGGGGTGAGGCTGTTTTGCAAGATGCTTTCCTTATGAGCTTGGTCTCCCTGCCCTCACCATGACCTCACAATCACATCATTCCCAGCTCATTTCTGAGAAAGCTGGGGCTCTGAGCCCTACTGAGAGTTGGTGTCTGGGCTTAGGCAGCAAAGACACAGGGAAGGGAAAGCACTTTGCAGGCCAAGGTTGGGAGATGCAAAGTTGAGAGTCGTGGGTGGGAAGGAGAGGGTGCTGGAGATCAGAGGAGGCCAGAGCAGCTCAGGATTGGCCTTGAGTTTCCGGCCAGAGTCGGCCTCATTCTGAAGGCCAAGGCCGCAGCTGCACTGAGCCAGACCCATCCTCATTGCTAGTCTCCTTGGGCCATAAAAACTCAAGGACACAGGTTCCCCTCACAGAACCAAGCTAAATTTTTCAGACCTCTAGGCATTCATTCACCCTGATCCAGAGCCTTCACACACCCAGGGAAAGAATCATCTTTCTGCCGATAATGGACTAAAGGCTGTAGGGCAACAAGGAAGTGCTGTGGGGGTAATTCCCTGTGCACACTGTGCTATCTGAGCTCCCACGGTGGCTCTGTGTGGCCCTCACGCAGCCTCCACGCTGCTGCTCACACTGCTTGCCTGGCTAGGAGCAGCCTTCCAGCTCCATCTGAGTTCAACAGACCCCCATGTGACACCTCCCTGCTTCATCTTTCTCTTCCACAGCCCCCTGTTTACTCCCAGGAGATTCTGTCTCCTCCTTCTGCACCCTGCGTCCCTTCACCTGTGCTTCCACTGGGGTGGTCAGAAGCTCTGTGCCCTTCAGTGTGGGTCTCTCTGCTGCAGGACACAGGATGCCCTGCCAGTCAGGGACGGGTCTCATCCCTCACAGAGCTGGCAATATGGCCCAGGTTCCATACACGCCTGTAAAACTGGTATTTCTAGCTTCTGTAAACAATCTCTGGCTGGGCGCAGTGGCTCACACTTGTAATCTTGGCACTTTGGGAGGCCGAAGTGGGCAGACGGCATGGCTCCAGGAGCTTGAGACCGGCCTGAGCAACGTGGTGAAACATGGTCTCTACAAAAGGTAGAAAAAAAAAAATAGCCAAGCATGGTGTTGCACACCTGTAGTCCCAGCTACTCTGGAGGCTGAGGTGGAAGGATCACCTGAGCCCTGGAGGCAGAGGTTGCAGTGAGCCAGGAGCGCACCCCTGCACTCCAGCCTGGGTGACAGCAAGACTCTGCCCCAACCCTCCAAAATGAAAAAACTCTTTCCTCATCTACAGAAGATGCCTGCTGCCAAGGTCATAATGCAAATGACTTGTAGTCTCAGAAACTTGAGCAAAGTGACCACATCCTCAGCCAGTGCTACCCTTGTATTGCGAAGCCCTGCAGTACAATCTATGACATTTCTATTCATTCAAAAAAGGAAAGATGAATCTATTTTGCAACGCAGTTCACACTGTTCAGATAAACATACCAAGTAGTACATGTGGAGGTGGTGGTCGAGGCCACAATGGGTAGGGAAGCTGGTTGAGGTCCTGGAGGAGTCGGTTCAGATAGCAGAGGCCAGCCAAGTGGAGAAGGTGGCAGATGTACTACAGAAGACCCTGGTGGAGGAGGTGGCTGAAGTCCCAGGGCCCATGAGTGGAGATTATTGAAGCAGCTGAGGAGATTCATGTGAAGGTGGTTATTGAGGGGCCAGACGCCACCCAGAAGGGGTGGCTGAGGATCCAGAGGTTACTAAGTGGAGATGTAGTCGGAGGTCCCAGAGGCCTCACAGAACAAAAAGGTGAATGATGTCCCAGAAGAAGGCAGCTACAAAAGATGGATGAGGTCCTGGAGGGAAGACACATGCTGGACGTGGATGAGGTCTGGGAGGACCAAGAGCTGCAGGAGGTGGATGAGTTCCCGGAATACAGACACATGTAGCATGTTGGTGAGGTCCCAGAAGACTTACAAGTCCAGGAGGTACATGAGGTCCTGGAGGACCAACAGCTGCAGGAGGTGGATAAGATCCCAGAAGACCTACAGCTGCAGGAGGTGGATGAGGTCTGAGATGACCACCAGCTGCAGGAGGTGGGTGAGGTCCCAGAAGACCTACAGCTGCAGGGAGCGGATGAGGTCCCAGAGGACCAACAGCTGCAGGACGTAGATGAGGTTCCGGAGGACTGACAGCTGCAGGCGGTGGATTAAGTCTCGAAGGACAGACGCATGCCACGGGTCAATGAGGTCCCAGAGGACCAACAGGTGCAGCAGGTGGGTGATTGAGGTCCCGGAGGATTGACAGCCGCAGGTGGTGGATGAGATCCGGAAAGACAGGCAACTGCAGCAGGTGGATGAGGTCCTGGAGGACTGATAGCTGCAGGAGCTGGATGAGGGCCCGGAGAACACTCGAGTGGAGGAGGTGGTTGAGTTTTCAGGGGACTCTCTAGTGCAGGATGTGGTTGAGTTCCCAGAGGACAGTCGAGTGGAGGTGGTTGAGTTCCCAAAGGACACTCGAGTGGAGGAGTTTGTTGAGGTGCCAGAAAACCTCCAGATGGAGGGAGTGGTTGAGTTCCCAGATGACATCCAGGTGGAGGAGGCGGCTGGCAGCCCATCAGTGATCCTGAAGGGCCAGCCATGAGATCGGGCAACTAGGGCCATTCTGAGAAAGGATGAGGAGAATTGACCTGCAAGTCAGGAGGAGAAAATGTTTTGAAATATATGAATATGATGGACAAAAACACCAAAACCAACACAAGCTGCACCTTATGCCGCAGGTGATAGTCCTTTGTACCTTTCCCTCCTCCAGGTTTCAAAATGGCAGCATCAATGCCCCCCTCCAAAAAAAAACTCCCTTCAACTGAGTCCTGCCGATGGCAGGGGAGTGAAGAAAAGTCATGGGGACAAACTGTTATCCCCACACACCACTCTGTCTGTAAATGTAGGCAGGCTGGGGGCCTGTCCCTGGGAAGACAAAGTCATAACCCAGTAACAAAGAAGCATGTTTCTGACACAGGGGTGTCTATGTCTATCCTCATTCCTCCCTCACCACCATCACCAGAGCATGTTCCTTGCATCAGATAAACAGAGAGAAAGAGGAGCATGAAAAGCCCATTGTCCACACGTGAGTCGCGGCTACTCTTAAGAGAATGGCCTCCAGGCTTTTCATGTGCTGTCTCTGATTCTCAGAAATCTACAAGGTCAGTGTGACCACCCTGCTGCAAATCTAAGAAAATAGAGGCTCCCAGAGGAAGGAGAAATTTCACCCAGCATCACATAGCTGGCAAGAAGCAGAGTGGAAGTCCATTCCAGCTCTGCCTGCAAGACCCTCTCGTCCCCCTTCTGCTTCCCTTCTTGACAAAGGGTCTTCCTCACTTTGGAGGTGCCATCCGTGGGCACAAAGAGCTCTGGGGAGATGGGGATTCCTGAAGAGCTGCAGGGGAACTGGGAGAGGGTTTTCTGATGGAATAATCCTACATACAGATATCAGTTTGGCACGGCTATCATATTTCTTTAACTTCTAGGTAATACCAAATTTTAAGTGCACTATGACATAAAGGATAATTTTGTCCATGGAAAAATGAGGTGGGAATTCTCAACAACAGAAGCAGTTTAAAAATGTGTTTGATTTCAAGCGTGTAAGTCCCATGATGTGTGATCAGAGGATTCAGCAGCTGTCGGAGACACAGAAGCCACACGAGAACCAGCTCGGCTGAGCATCAGTTAAGGCCTTCATTGGCAATTGTGCCTGTAGGCAATGAGTGACGTTCACTCTCCACCACCTCACAGCCGGGGCACATTTTCTATTAAAATATGGAACCTCTGACACTTAGAATATTAGATCAAGGGCAACACTGGGTGAGGGTGGGGCCGTTTTTGCTCAACACAGTTAAGAACAGACGGGACCGTGATGAACTATGGAATTGACTTTGCCAAAGAACATTCAAAATTGCACAAACCACATATTAACGTTGAATCGATGAGTTTTCACTTCTGGGATTACGGCGGATATTCTGAAGGTTAATTACCTACCTTATAGCAGAAAAGAAAATCACAGCAACAAAAAGAAACCCCGCATATTTTGGGAAGGGGACTCCACACCATCATGAGTAAAAGGGATCAGCAGGGTCTACTGGGCCATAAGACCGACCGTAGTGGAGCTCAACGGCATCCTCTCGTTATTTCTGGAAACAGAACAGTGACAGCCCTGCAGCCCTCGGCCCTTAAGCATTTATGGCTTCTGGAGGTGCCACCAAAGATGACCAGCTGAAAATGAAGAAGCCTGAAAGAAAGCTCATGGGGAAGATTTTGCTTTCAAAAAAATCCACAGAGCAGAGGACAGGCCAGGAGAGGGCGCTGTAGGAAAAGACAAAAGTGTCCTGAACTAGAGGGAAAACTACCCCAGCATTTGCCTTTGTCTTCTCTGTGTTTTCAGGTGGGACAGAGCGGCTGTTCCTCATGGAACCGAATGAGGTCCTGAATCTGCTAAGGGCTAGAGAAGGGAACGGGCCCTAATCGGGCTTCCATGCTCTGTGCCAAATGAGAAACCCTCCACACCCTTCGCTGCCACTTCACTCTCTTTGCCGCCCTCTGGGCCTTATCCTTGAGGAAGACACCACAGAGCCCTCATCCAGGGGTTTTCTTAATTCTCCACTGACTGTGGCCAGGCCGGGCTCTAAGCAGCTGGAAATGAGCGCTACATCAAAAGTTCACTGCGCATGTCAGAGGAAGTCACTCATCATGTGAGCACGGACTCAAAATTAAAATAGGAACAGCCGTGGCTGGGAAGAATATCAATGAACCCTGGACAGAAACAGCACTCTCTCCTTTTCTTCAAGCCATAGGGGTGTTCAGAATTAATCTAACCTCCATATCTGACCAGGTATTATCAATATTTATGAACAGAAATGGACATAAAGAGACTAACAGTCATGAGAAAAGGTAAGAGCTATAGAAATTAACTGGAAAGTTTTAGGATTATACTTCAAATGTTAGAGAAGTAAGATGACATAGAAATTTAATTTACTAATGAAGTTTTATGGTTCGCAATAAACAATTTAAACAAACAAAAAGAATGAAGGAAGCTCCAAAAAGTGTAAATAAATGCTTCTTTAAGAAAAGAAGAAATATTGATCCATGAAGACATAGCCAGAAAATTTCTGCTCCCCTCAACACTTACAGCTCCCATTCTAAAATGTTATTGGTGTTACTTTTCTCAAATTAAAAAAAAAATAAAGCCTTCCCACTGACTCAAGGTTGGAAGAGGACCTGGTCCATTTGCCTTCTAGGCTCATCCCCTCAGTTAAAAGTAACCAAGACGTCAGGGTGGAACAATGTCCACAGTCAGTGGAGGGGCCTGAGCTCCACCATCCACAGGGGACCAGCCAAGAGCCACTCAGCTGTGGGACCTGAGAAAAACAGGGTCCTGCCACTTAAGCCCTCACCCCCGAAAAGGAGAAGCAGGGTGTGTGGATTGTGCAGCAGAAGTTAAGCGGCTGCCTTCACAGCGAGCTCCTTCCTTTCCAGCAAGGGTTCTCTAGCCCCAGCTGTCCCTGGGCTGCCTCCTGACTCATGTGTCTCTCTGGCACTCCCTGCTTTTCCATCATTTCCCATCTTGAAGATAGAGAAAGAATTGACCTGAAGAATTAAAACACCATGTTTTTTACTAGACACTCAAAAGTTCATCTTAAAACAAAACATCCTTAAAATTTGTCCATCACAGTTACCTACCTGTGCTGCTTGCAGGCAGCCTTCCTCTCTGCCGTCTCCCTCTGCAAGGCTTGGGCACAGAGCTGTGGGGAGAAAAATACATCCATGTCCTGATTTGGCCCAAAAGCAAGGAGGGGGGAAAAAAAAAAACTTACCCAGTTGTTGAGGGCCTTTCTTGCGGCAGAAGGAGTGATCTGAAAAAGCCAACACCTGAGAAAGTGTATGTTGAGAGAGTCTAGGGGCTGTGGCATCATCTTCATGAGCGCTTAAGGATCCTGTAACTGCGGGGAGGAAGGCTCCTTACATCGCATCTGTAGGAGTCCTCTACCCACCGCCGCAGCTCTTGTCTGTCTTGAATCGTTTTCCTGTGGTTTAGAATCACTTTCGTCAGACAAAGCACCATCTTCAGTATGATTTTAAATAATCTGCCATGTTCCTGATGTCCTCACAACTGACCTCTTACACAATCTATCTGTACCTAGAAAATGTATTTCACATGGTTATAAAAGTACAGTATGATCAAAACTGTTGCTGTAATGCTTCCTCCTCTTTTACTTAATGCCTGCTGGGTTGTGAGTTGACAATTTCCTTACCCATTTTCAGTATGTCCCTAATTCATCCTTCATTGGGCATCTTTTATCATGAAATTCCATTCTCCTGGAATTAATATCCTTGCCATATTTCACAGGGCAGACACAGCTGAGCTGATGAACAGGCACAGTCCTTTTGAAGAATGGGTTGATCCTACAACAACATGCTTTCCTAAGGATGATGACAACTCACACCACCCCTAGAACGGCTGGTATGAACTGAGTTTCCACACAGTCTGGCCGGCATTGCAGTCAGGAGATATTTAGCTACTTCACATGCTTTGATCACTGATAAATCTTAAGGTACTTTCTGTTCTCTTGTGTGAATTCTCTCTCTCTGGATCTCTTCTGACCATTTGTTTCCATTTCTGTGTTAACTGGGTCTAAACGTTGTACAAAAATTTAAAGCAAAACACTGCAGCGGGGCTTTCCCAAGAGGCTGGTGTGGGTTTCTGAACTCACTCGCAGATAGGTATTTTTTCTAGAGCTAATTTCCTGGTTTCTTCCACCTCTGACAGCCGCCTCTCCCTTTCTGCTCGCTCACGTTCTTTCATTCTCAGTTTCCTTAGTTGAGAAGGGAGAGAGATGCACGCACATGATCCACTGGCCTGTGTGGGATTCCTTCTTCTCTTCCGGCATCTGAAGGCCGTGATTCAAAGGTCCCCTGACAACCTTCCCATAAATGAACCAAGTGATCCTCACAACTGGAGGGAGAATTAACACCTTCCATGGAGGGACAAAGAAAAAGCACACTCTGGCCTGCTGGCAAGTCACCTGTCATTTCCAGCTCATCTTCATCGCTCTGTATTCCTACTCTTTAGTAAATATGAACTATTAAAAGCTTCTATGAGACGTGCTATGTGTGCTTCTAGGGTCAGCCTTGTGCCTGACATAGCGAAAGCTCATTTTAGTTCAGTGTGGAAAACCAGACCTCATCAGCTCATCATAACTAAACCTGTAAGGACGGAGCAGGGGATCGCTCCTTGTCTGACTCCTCCCATAGGGAGACCTGATTCTCCATCAGAAGCTGATGCCAGAACCCAGACAATCAGCCTCAGAGAGATCCTTCCAGGACATGCTGTCCTTAGCCCTGCGGTTCACTGCTGCACATGTCCATGATTCAGGACTGGAACTCTTCTCGTCGACTTTAAAGATCCTAGTTGAGAGAAAAGGCCGATCTGAGTGCCGGGTGCATCTATTGAATTGGAAATGATCGAATGGCTCTTTAGTCAGGGTGTCCTGAAAATAGGTGACAACTGCAAACCGTCCTCTGGTGCTGAGTGACTTTAACAAGGTTTGGTTCACAGAGAGTGAGGGCAGAAAAAGGAAATGGCTGAAAAGGTAGGTTTGCTGTGTTGCCCTCACACTACTTGATTCATGGTTCTGATTTTAAAAATCTCACTTGATACTTGATTTCATATGAAGGAGTGTAAACTGCCAAGAACTCTAGGAAATGGGGGCAAAAACACTTCAAAGAGAAAGTTCATGCACCTGTTTCTGAGCACCCAGGGCACCCTTCAGCACATGCTATCTGGAGTGGCCTGAAGCAAGGATGTGTTGTGAGGTGCAGAGGATGCAATGGGAGCAGGGTCCCGTCCCCACCCTAAAGGAGCTCACAGTTTAATGCAAATGAGAAGCCAGTGAGGACATCACTACTCCTGCTGTGCACTTGGGAACTAGAAACACAAAACCTGAGTCTGGAGGGAAGCTAAGGAAGCATTCTATTCCGGAATAGACATGAGTGCATGTGAAGCTTCTGATCTCCCATGAGAACAATGGGGACATGGGGCAGAATCTAAAACTCATGACTAAAAGCATCAAATTGCTAACATGGCAGTAAAGAGACGTGAGGCCAAGATAGAGAAGAAGGAAACCCAGGACGAAGGTCAACCTCACATTTGGGGCTCATTTCTCTGAGTTTCATCACTGAATTCCAGAAGGGACTGACTGATATGCAAAGAAGCAAAGCAGCTTTTGCACCATGTGGAGGATTGAAAAAAAGCAGATTGAGGGTCTGTCAGTGAAGGTGAGCCCTACTGAAGTCCACTGGTTCTGGATGGGACCCGAAGAGTCACATGCCAGGAAAAGAGGTGGACAGGAAATACCCTGACCTTTGCAAGGACTG